GGAGCACTTGTTGGCTTAGATGGTTGACAAGTGTAGGCTTATGATTGAGCTTAGGAAGGAGCATTGGATTTGTGACAAGTGTAGGCACCAAAATAAGTCTTGCATTGTGTGTGTGTGAGAGGTAGTGTAAGAACACATAGTGAGTGGAGGATTTCTAGCCCTTCTACTCACCATTTCACACTTTATGTTTTTCATTTCACATGTTCTTCAAGAACCCTAGCCTAGCCACCATTGGAGAAAAGCTTGGTTAATAGCTTTGACTTCATTTTTGGCCTCCTTCCATTCACCTTAGACTTAGAACCTTGGAACACAAAAGTTTCCCCTTACTCTCCTTTTCATTAACCCTAAACATGTTTTCCATTTTGAGCTTGGTTGCTTGGATTATAGAGATTCAATTCCCTATTGAGGTAGGGGTGGTAGTGTGTTTATATTTTAAGTGTTTTATAATCCTTGGGGTTTAATATATATTGTATACATGCTTTTAATATAATAGTTTTGCATATTATAGGAAACCCTCACTTCTTGACTTAGGGTTTATGGATTTAAGCATGTATGATATGTATAAATCATGTGTAGAAGGATTATATAATTTAGTAGTATGCTAAATTCTTGTATTTTCACATGTAATGATGATATAGAACTCTTGTGGAATTATTAATGTTATATGCAATTTCCATTGACTTGAATTGTTATATTTGTTGAGATAATAATTCTATGTTCTTGTGGATTACAAATTGTAATTATCATAGAAGCTTATTGCTTTAAATGTTGATATTTAGTGTATAAAGTTTATTGTTGAGGCATGATTGAAATTGATAAGTTGGTGGTATTGTATTGTGCATAATATCATGATGATGACTTGTCATTTAGCATGTCATTCTAGACTTGGAACCCTAAGACATGGTTTGTATGGTTTCAAAGTATTTATGCTTGTAAGGTGGTTGATATGCCTTATTAATTATGTATAAGTTTTGAACTTGATATATTTTGGATTCTCTTGGGACATTGTTAAAGTGACATGGCTAAAGTTTGGCTTTAGTGTGGGAGGTATGAGTTCTCCCCAATTGAGATAGTGCGCACTGGGGTGGTCTTCCCAGTGGGTTAATGCCCAAAATAACCATTTTGTTCTTGGTTTAGTCCGAGACGTGATGTCCAAGTTTTCCACTAATTGATTTTGCATTAAATTCTAAGTTGACAACCAATGCTTAATTGTAACTTGTGATTTTTGTTATTGGAGAATTGATGTTGCTAAGTACATTGATAGTGATGTGTGTTGCTAAGGAATATTTAAGTTAGCTTAAGATGATCCCTTAGAACACCTTGAACATAGACGTTAAGTGGAATGCTCCCTTGTATTCGTCATCTATATTGATCTTGCAATGATATTGAAAGATATACGCATATGCTTCTTCCTACGAGTAACTTAATTACTCACCCTAGTGGTTTAGGTTGTTTTTCAGGTAAGGAGACTATGTTCTTGGATGCTCATCATCCTTAGAGGCTTATGAGTCATTTGAAGCATTTTTGTATATTGACATGCAAATGTTTAGCATGTTTAACTTTTGATGTCATATTTTGTATACCATGGGTGTATGGTACTTTAGAAGCTTATGTAGCTTTCTTGACATGTAATGATACTTGAGTATTCACTTTTGACATTATAAACATGTATGTATGAAGGCTAAGGGCCAAATATGTTTGCTTTTGCATTTATACTCTTTTGGTATAAAACTTTTCTTCAAATGTATTTTAACCATCTTGGAGGTTTGCCACATGAAACTCTTGTAATTGACATGTTCATATGTTCAATCTTCCCTAAAATAAATCAATTTTTGATATATACATGTGAGTAGAATGAATCCCATAGGTTCCATTGCAATTCCATTTGTTAGAGGAGCATTCAGCAGCATTTCGAGGAGTTTTGGTAGACCGAAACTCCATCTCGGTCGACCGATCCCTTTTGTGACCAGTTTTGGTCGACCGAACCCTTTTTGAGACCAAATAAACAATAAAAATCAGCCTTCAGAAAACATTCTGTGAGTTTCGATCGATCGAAACTCTAAGTTGGTTGACCGAAATAGCCCCTGTGCACCAACACTTCCAGATTTCAATTCAGCACTGATGGTCCAACTTCAAAAGACCATAACTTCTTCGTTTCTTATCCAAACGAGGTGATTCTTGAGTCTAAACTCAAGGATTTTGAGTCAGATTTCCAATGGTACCTATACCATTCTTAGATTCCAAACATTGTAGAAGTTATTCATGTTTTAGTGTGAAGTAGTGTCAGTTTTCACTTCAACCGGAAAAGGGCAATTTGTGGAATTCTTAGCCAATGTTCTTAAAACTTCTTGAAATGTCTTGAAATGATTAGATTAGGTTGTATTCACCTTGTTTGACTTGTTTAGAGTCAAGTTTCTCTCTTTAATTGTAAATTAACCGTTTTGCCCCTTTGATAACGAATTTTGTCCTTTTCGACCTTTGTTTCCACTTTTGCTCTCTTTAGGTCCCGTGATCTCATGAAAAGTCACATTTGTGTCTTAGGAGTGATTCCTATCTCTTAAGACCTTGGTTTATCATTTGCTTCCGCATTTCGGATCCGTTATCGGATTAACTTTCAGTTCATCACTGACGCACCGGGTTGAAAAACTTGGGCCGTCACATTATCCATGCCCATTCCGACTCCTATCCAAGTATTTCATGCGACCCAAATGATTGGTCCATTAATATTATCCATATCCATCCTTTTAAACTAAAAATAAAAGAAAATACACATTTAATCTAGCAAATAAAATTACAATTAAACAAACACATCATCATATAACAAATAATTTCATACAACAATTAATTCAAATAAACTACTTAAGCACACACTTACAATTAAACAATTAATTCAATTAACCAAATAACAAATAGCTAAATAATCAATTAATTAATTAAAAATGCAATTAAAATAAATAAATAAATACCGAAACTATCCTTTTAAAATTAGGAGTATTACAAATTAAAATAAAACAAAAAAATAATAATAAAGATATGGAACCAACTTCATCACAAATCTCATAACAATAACTAATCATATCTAATATGGGAAAATTCAATCTATATATGATTATGATTCATGTGGCTACAAGCACACATCGATATCACCAAGAAGATAAATGCACATATAACCAAAAGCTAAGTATAACCCATCTTCAGTTGGCACAGACTATCTACCTAACTACATTACTCTAAGGTTGTAGTACGGTCTATCCCTAGGCATGGCCTATCAAATCTCTTGCATTACATGCCATGAAAATCATTGCATAATCATCATTTTCATTGTCATAATAAGAATGATTTTGAGCTCACTCAAGATATATTTTATGTCTAAAATATGCAACTATCACATATATGAATAAACTTCCCCAATTATAAACACAATAAGAAAAATCATTACTCGAATGTAATTAACATTAATCCCAAATCAGAAAAACAAAACAAACAAAAATAAAATAAAATAAATAGAAAAAACAAACACTGAAGGGGCATGACTCCAATCTGTGGCTCTGTTCTCTTCTGTCTTCATCTTCTAAGTCTTCTATAGGAATTTATAGCTGAAATCCCAAAAAGTCTAAGTCTTGTATGAAAATTTATAATTGAAATCCCGAAGCAACATTCTTCTTGATTCTTTCCATTTCATCTTGATTTTGCTCATTCTTTCCATCATTCTCCACTTTCCTTTCATATTTCTTTCCTTCGGCCATTACCTCTGACTAATTTGACATTTTTATCCGAATTTATTTTCCTATTACAAATAATCTAAATAAACACAAAACTCTACTAAAAAAATAAAATAAATAAAAATAAGGTACTAACAAATATAAATTTAGGGATAAAATATGTAGAAAAAAGTGAACTCATCAATTTGTCCCAATAAAAACACAACACATGACACTAACTTTCACAAATTGCACAAAAGTCCATCCATGAAAATATCTAAAAAGATAATTACATTATTGCCCCAAATAAAAATATTTTCAAAAGATAATCACACAAATACCCCCAAAATAGAAATGTCAACAAAATAAAATCGCACAAATATCCCTAAGTAACAAAAGGTAAAATATAAATAAGTACAATACAAATCCATAATGACATGCAGGTAAAATACGCAAAGACGAAATGAAGGAAGTGTATGGAACCATTCCCAAGCACTTGACTCGATTCGGTCCGACAAGACCCGAACCTGAAAAATAAACAGAAAAAAAGAAAATACAGAAAAATAAAAAAAGGACAGGTCCTCAAAACCATTATCTTAGTATATATGCACGACCACCCTAGTGTGCGTATATATACACTTTACATATACCACCCACCCACACATAAGGAAAAAAGATTTGAAATTCATACCAAACAGATTGATATATGAATCCATATATATATATATATATATGTATATATTAAATCTCTCTAATGAATATTGATATTTCAAATCACCATAAAAATATAATTTTCGATACAGCTTGAATTGGGTCCAAAAAAGAGAGGTTTTTTTTTACAAGGTCGGGTGACCAAGATGTGTTGGGATTTTTGGTGATGTGCTATTGTGATGTTGATAAGGGATTTTGGGGATGTTGGTGACATGAACGAAATTAAATATGGTGGCGTTTGTGGGCAATATGACACTTGGAGAAGTTCAAGAGGAGAGAGGTGAGGTCCAGCTCCATGTTACAATGAAGAGGTGGTAACTCGACAACATCAATATCACTAGTAATTAATCTTATTGTACAAATGTATTTAAGTAAAATCATAGCAACCGTTACCCTAATTTTGACGGTCCGTCACTCACAAGGGGGTAAGTGTTATCAGGTTTCATTTTCGGGGAGATCCATGTAATTTTGAAAACTACAGAGGAGTCTTTGTAATTAAGGCAACTCACAGGGGAGGTCAGTGTAATTTACCCTTTTTTATAATTGTTAAAATTTGTATATAAAATAAGAAGAACTAAAAAAAAAAAAATTGCAATCAGTAACGTGGCTCCGCCACTGGATATCTGCAAAGCATCCTGGAGGCGCCCTGCCAAGTTGAACATTTGGGGGTTTGGACTCGTAAGCTGAAATGACATTGGCACGTATGGCCGTTCGCACCTGCAACCTTATTCATCGCTCCTTCGCTTCCATTCCTCACTCAAACACTCTCCACTCTCGCCAGGTATCGCTCTCTCTCTCTCTCTCTCTCTATATATATATATATATATATATATATATATATATATCATAGCTATGGAAGCGCACACAGTGTCTGATACTTTAAACTAATCGCAAACTCACCCATTCTCTGAAATTCTTCATCTGCTGCTTTCTATAAAATCGTTGCTATTGTCTTTTCCTCTGATTCGATCCATTCTTTTACTCTGATCTTTTTGGCTGCGATAAAGTTTTAAAGATATTAAAATTTGTTGCTAGTTTTGAATTCTAAACCTTTGTTTGATTTCTGTTAATGGAATTTACCTACGTTGACAATCTCTGAGGTGTGAGCTTACTATATTGATTTACCTACATTTCAAGAACTAGTCTGTTGTACAAGATCTTCATGTTAACATGGATACATATTGCATATCATCTTATTCGTTCCTGTGATAATGTTGGTCCTGTTGCAGCTTTAAACTCTGATTGATTGCTGAGAAATTCAAGTCAAATAAATAGGCAACGTTGAACTGATACTCCATCCATTCACAATTTTTGTTTGATTTTCATGGCTTGAGGTTTCTTAGCCACCAAACAGGGATGTAATAATAGGTTGTGTTGAACTGATACTCTGTCTATTGACTATTTTCTTTTCTGTTTTTGGGGTAATGTTTGTCACTTTATTCTGAGTAGATGCAAACATCGTTGTGAGAAAATTGGGGTCAAATTACATATTGCGCAAAGCCTTGCATGTTAAACTTGGAAGGCTACTGTGATTATTTGGATTATAATCTCAGGAGCTTATTATCCTAGGTCAGAACAAGTTGATAGGATCCCTTTTTTAGTCCCCATGTTACCCAATTAATGATCAAACTTGATGTTACTTCAGCTCATTTTTTTTGTAAGAAAAAAGGCTTCGGGGTATATTTTTGTTTGCTTTGAATTTCAGAAATTTATTTTGCTTTTTGATGTAGTACAATCTCCTACTTATGGTACATTCGTGGTGCCATTTCATGTAGTACACTCTCCTACTTATGGTACGTGTTGATATTAGCAAATTGTAATTAACTCTATCTTGTATTATGTGCAATACACTTGCTTATATCTCTCCAAAACAAAATCCAAGATATTCATAAGAGCTGAAATTATTGAAAAAAATATTGTGTGGCTCTAAGAATGATGACATGGACAGGGGAATCTCTTTTAATTCACCGGCACATGAATGTCTCTTCTATTTGAGTATTTTGTAAATTCTATTTTATGGGTTAAAAAAATAAGCAATACAATTTCTGCAACTTCTAATCTGATTGTGATTATTTCCTATTTATTAGGTGAGTTCATTTTACAATATCTATCGCAGTTGAGTTCTAAAATATGCAAGTGTATCTGAAGAAGGGGTTTGGATTGTCAGATAAGCATGGATGCACAAAGCATTGCAGCTCAGCTGAATAATTCTGGCTTCTTACGAAATCAGGGCCTTGTTGGAGGGAAATGGACTGATGCATATGATGGGAAGACTATAAAGGTTCGAGAGAAACACAGCTCTCCTGTTGTCTTTTGATGTCCATATGCGGAGGGGTTCTGCCATTCCTACTATCATTATTATTACTACTATACTACCGCTGTTTGCTGAATACAATTATTTTTGATCCATGCTATTTAGATCACCCATGAAGTGATTCTGTAAATGGGGCTAGTAGTTTTTCTGACAATATTATGATCATACAGTTAATAATTGCTTTTATTTATGATCATACTAATCTTACTGTATCACAAAAAAAAGAAAAAAAAAAAGAGACAGAAGTACCTACTTTTTGCATTCTTGATTCTTAGTTGCAGTAGTCAAATGACATTTTTGTTTGGAAATCCGCATGACATTGAACTAATTTCTGGTCTCTTTTGTGTGTTATTTTGTGCCAGCTGATTGCATCTTTCAGTGATGTGCTGCTTTGTTGCCACTTTTGACACTTTATTCATATTTCATGTCATGGCAGGTTTGCAACCCTGCTACTGGCGAAGTTATAACAAAGGTCCCATGCATGGGTGGAAGGGAAACAAATGATGCAATTGCTTCGGCCTATGATGCATTTAGTTGTATGGATTTTTAGAATGATCTATATAGTAATTATGTGATTTTCTAGTGAATTTCTTACACCCACATTCATGATAGTTTTTTGAAATAAGTAGAGAGAATGGTAGTTATATTGCTTACATAGAAACATTTAGTGATGTCCCATGAACTTCATAATAGAAATCAATGTGGTTATTGTTGTGGACTTATATCACTTCTTTTTTTTTTGATAAGTAAAAATATATTAACAAAGGTGCTCAGAGTCAGAGGGGAGTGAACCCTTAACAAAGCAAACAAAATACGCAAAATGCGCCATTACAACGATAAGTTGTCAACAAAATCCAAAAAGCTATCCATAGATGGGCAATTTTTCCCATTAACCCAAGAATAAAGAGAAAGCAAAATATTCGCCGTAATAACCCACACCGGCAACTCCTTTCCCTCGAAAGATCTCTTGTTCCGTTCATGCAACAGCCCCCGCCAAATACAAAGAGGTGCAACCCTCCACGCCTTCCTAACCCGACTGCCCATTAGTCTCCCTCTCCAAGCCTCTAACGTATCCATCGTGTTACTTGAAACCACCCAGTCTACCCCAAAAACATTTAGGATCAAACTCCAAACATCCGTTGCCACTTTACATTACAGCAAGAGATGATTAACCAATTCGCCCGCCTTCTTACACATGCAACACCAATTAACTGTTATTTGACGTCTTTTTCTGAGATTGTCAAGAGTAAGAATGCTGCCAAGCACCGCTATCCATGTGAAAAAAGTCACCTTCAATGGAGCTGAAGTCCTCCGTAGAGCCTTCCAAGGGAAACTGTTACTTATCGAATTCGTAAGGCTTTGATAAAACAGCCTCACCTTAAACAGCCCTCTAGAATCCTCCATCCTCACCATCTCATCCCTTCCTTCCCCCTCCACCACTTGGCTATAAATAAATTAATCCCATTAAATTGGTAAACTCCAGCAACTCCCAATAATTAAAATTTCTGCGTGGACTTATATCACTTCTTATATTGGAGAAATTACAAAACTATAGACAAAACAGTTGACGAGAGAGGGTTATGAGAATTATGTGACTTGGGCTATGCCTTACATCCACAACACATAAAGCTATCAATATATTACAAACATGACCTATACTCTGAAGCACAAGATTTCCATTTCCACCAGATCCTATGGCAATATTGTTGCATTTTCTTCATTACCTTGATTTGAGGGATTTTTTTTTTGATAAGTAACTTGATTTGTGGGAATGAACCAGGCTTACATAAAAAACCTTTAGGAATATGAGATTGCTTTAGTAAGATGCTTTCGAAGCTGCTTCATGCTTATCAAGTTTAGTTGTGAAAGATTAGACCAAAATCTGAGGTTGCAAGGCCCGTGATCTAGACCCCGCCGGGGGGGGGGGGGTGGGGGGGGTTGGGTCTTGTAGATTGGATTACCAAATTTTAGTTACTTTAGTTTCAATAATCTTAACAGAAATTTAAATTATATGAGGAATATAAAAATCACTTAATCCATCGTCCAAGCATGTATAATCAATTAAATTATAAGAAAGTCTCCCACTATGCCTCCTCTAAGGTTTCTTCTTCATCTTCTAGTTCATGCTCTATGAAAAAGCTTACCGCCGCCCGATCCTTTTTGGCTGTTCTGGGCTCATATATGATGTTGAAGGAACTCGGCTCTTTGTTTGGAGAGGATTGCCTTGATCGGGTAGGTTGTGGGCGCTATTATTTGGTGAGATTCAAAATAGTGGCTCAGTTTCCTCTTCGTCTGAATGAGGGCTAGAACGACCTTTTAAGCTTTGGGGTACATTTTCTCTACATCTGTCATTATCTTGCTAGCATAAAATGCTGGATGTTGCTTCTTTTCATCCTCCTTTACCAATGCTGCACTTGTTGCCAAACAAGAGACGGTCAGGTTCAGGTACAGTGGTTCTTTCGGCTTTGGGGCTAGTAGGATTGGCGAATTCATCATGTATTCTTTTAGCTTACTAGGGTTTCCCTTTGCTCAGCTCCTCAAATTTCTTCGGTCTTTGCACGGATTGTGTCGAAGAACAACTTACATTTGTCTGAGGGGCGTGATATGAACTTGCTAAGGGCTGCAACGCGCCCAGTTAGTGTCTAGACGTCTTTTTGAGTCTTCAGCTATTCATTGTGCACTAATGCCTTGGATTAAGCGGGTCGACCTTAATCCCTTTTCAATTAACAATGTGCCCTAAAAATTGTCTTGAGGACACACTAAAGCAGCATTTTTCCGGGTTCAACCTTATTTTGTATCTTCTGAGTGCGTCGAAGACTTCTTGGAGGTGATTCATATGATCTTCCATCTTCAGGCTCTTAACTACCATGTTGTCCATGTAGGGCTCCGTGATCCGCCCTATTTATTTCTTAAACACTTTCTTAACCAACCGCTGGTATGTCGCTTCAGCATTTTTCAATCCGAACGGCATTATCTTGTTGCAATAGGTTCCTTGTTTTGTTATGAAGGGAATTTTCTCCTCGTCTTGCAGATCCTTTGTAACAGCCCTCACCTTAGTTGACACAATATTGTCCGCTTTTGGCTCCCCCGGACCAGACTTCTCAGGAGGTCACCCATCCTGGTACTACTCTTGCATAAGCACACTTCACTGCGGAGTTCTGATGGGTTCACGGCTACCATGACTTTAAAACATGTTGTGTCATATAAGGGTGTTGAACCTACATATAGCACTTCACCTTCACCTTCCCCAGGCGATGTGGGATCATAACACCTGTAGCCTGCTAGTGTGGTAACTCGCCCAGTATCTCGCACCCGCCCTCATCGCACCCGTCCATAGAGGTTGTCACAATCGGGATCTGGTTGTAGCTTGAATAAGCGTTAAGAAACGTCTACCGTTTGTACCCATTGGCTGCATCCACAATTTGGTCTATCTTTGGGAGGGGATAACCATCCTTAGGGTAGGTTTTGTTGAGGTTGGTGAAGTCTATGTAGATCCACCATTTGTCGTTCTTCTTCTGCATCACTACTACATTGTACAACCATTAAGGATACTGCACTTCCGTTATGAACCATGCTTCCAAGAGCCGATCGACCTCTTCTGAGATTATCTTGTTTCTTTCTGGGGCGAACCTCTGCTTTTGCCTTACGGGCCGAAACTGCGGATCTACATTCAGACTATGGTGTGCCATTACTGGGTTTATTCCTGGCATATCCGTATGGCTCCTAGCGAAGATGTCTGCGTTCTTTTTCAGAACTCGAATCAATTTTTGCTTCTCTTCTTCGTTTTGTAGGGTTCCGATCAGAATCATTTTGCCCCCTCCTCTTGGGTGAATCTGCATTGCTTCGAACGGTTCCTGCATGAGGTTCCGTTCCTCTGCCGCTACGTTAAGAAATTTTGGTAGAGGGCTCTGTAATTGTTATGTGGGATTTTTGCCCACTCTGATCCCTTTTCCTTTGTCCTTGGTCTTGAGGGTGACTACACAACATTCCTTCACAGCCACTTGGTCTCCCCAAATATCGATTACCTCATTTCCGTTCCGACTTACACACCTTATCACTTGGTGGAGGGTAGACGGCACTCTGTGTATCGTGTGAATCCATTCTTTATCCATAATCAAGTTATAAGATAGGTGGTATCCACAATTACATAATTTTCTTTGAGGGTTCGCTTCGTTGCTGTTACCGATAGCTCCACCACCCCGATTGGCTCCACATGTTTTCGGTCAAACCCCACAAGGGGTTCCCAGTCAGTTGGATTTGCTTGGCATCTACCATTAACTGCTCGAATTCCCATTTTGTTATGATGTTGGCGCTACTAACTTAGAACTCTCTTGACGAGGCAGTTGGCAACTAGCACGCTTATTACCCATGGATCGTCGTGTGGGGCCTGGACCTGAGAACGTCTTCATTATAGAACGAGATGAGGGAAGATCCCGGTCGACAGTATTAACACTGCCTACCCTCCTCAGCTTCTGGGTTTGTCGTAGGTGGGACCGGTTGGTCTCTTCAGATTCATCATCTTCTTCCGGCCTTACATGAATCGTGTTGATTATCCGAACTAGTTTCGCCTCATGCTGATTTCCCTTATGGTGATTCCGAATTAGTTCGTTTGGTTTTGACTAATCCCTAGTAGTCAGGTAGTCCGTCATCTCTCCTTTGGCCAACATCGCTTCAACTTGCCTTCTTAAATTCTTGCAATCATTTGTTTGATGGCCAAAATCACTGTGGAAGCCGTAATGCTTGCTTTGATCTCTCTTTTCGATCGGTTGTTTGATTGGTTGAGGAGGACAGAACTTGCCCTTGTTCTCCAGGTAGAGCCTTGCCAGGGTTGTCCTTAGTGGGGTCAGCTTTTATTCTACCTTTTGCCTCTTTCTAGTGGCCAAGCCACTGACGGTACTTGACTTATGAGCGTTTTGTGGCTGCCCATCTTCTCTCACGTTCGGTTTTCCACTGTAACCATTGTCGCTCTTTGCTGTCCAACGGCTTTATCTTCCTCTAATCTTAGTTAACCTTGTGCTCTGGAGTTTAAGGCACCCATATTTGAAGGGATTTTCTTCACCAGAGGTGTGGAACTTCGTACCACCTATCATTGCCACCTTGAAAGCTTCCACCGCTGTGGTTTGATCGCATCCGTCCACCATGCGCATCTCCAGGTTGAACCTCGTAAGGAACGCCTGTAACCTCTCCCTTCTGCTGCCTCATGGTAAAGAGGCTTGACACGGTTTTCTTTCTCCCTTCTCCCGTCGAATGGCGTGAAGATCACCATCGAAAATTTCTTGGGCTTCTCCGATCGGAGGATCTCCTTAGTGAAGGGCGGTTCCTCCACGAGACAACAGTTGAGCTGTTAGGTCCGCCGAGATTTGTGCCCTCAAGTCTTTCACTGTTCCCCCACCTTCCCTTTGAACCTGTGAGTCTTCAGATTTGGGTTCTGAATTTTGTCGAACACTTGGTCCGCCAATGACCCCCGCAGGGCATGACGGCTGGTATCCGCTTGATCTTTGGGCAGTCGTCCCCAATCGGGATTTGTTCTGTTCTTTGGGAGCTCGTAGTGAACTGATCCGGCTAGTTACTGTGACCGACCGGAATGACTACGTACTACACCTTCTAACGGTTTAGGTGGTGGCTGTGGCGCCTCTGCACGCTTTACTCTCGCTCGGAGCTTAGCGTTCTCTCGGCGGAGGGTCTCAATCTGCTACTGAAGTTATTCTTGCAGCTTCCATATGTTCTCGTCAAGTTGCTGAGAGTTTTCTGGTCCAGTCATCGTGCCTGATCACAACTCTACCATAAATTGAGCAAGGAATCTTTCTCGATTCCAACAGACGGCACCAAAGTGTAGGTACAAGAATTTCCGTTGACTATTCACAGCCAAATAGAGCTTCAGAGACCATCACTCATATCAATAATCTATTTTCCATTTTCAGAAAAGGAAGAATTTATTTCCTTACACGTTTTCTGCCCCCTTCTCTTGGGGGTTGGTCCTTTCATTTATATTCATGGAAGTCCCTCTTGGGCCCCGTCCTTTGGGATACAAAAATTTCTAGGGTTTGGGCCTCTACTGGGCCTACGAGCCCTCTTTATAATGACCTAGATGTTTGGCTCACTTTCTTGGGTCAGTGTGATTCATAGACGGGCCTGTTAACTTTGACACGTGTCAGACGGAGAGTGTACTCTTTTTTTGCGCTGCTGTTGTACTCTCTTTGGAGGGGATTTTTCCCTCCACACTTCTCTATCCCTCCTACCTCTGGTCCTTTCAGTTTTTCATTTGTACCAAATGGAGCATAAATGGCACCCCATTGAGTTGGGACTAGACTATACCAGTAATGGTGGACTTGCAACACAATAGACATATATTTCTGTTTCTTAATTCTTCTTCTTCTTCTTCTTTATATTTTCATAAACACAATTAATATATTTTAATAAACAGATGTAAGTTGTCTTCTTCTTTTTTTTATTTTCATAAACATAATTAATATATTCTAATAAACAGATGTAACTTAAAGGAAAATTATTATCCTTGTTTTCTCTCGTGTAGCACCAGAGCTCTCTTTTTGGTTTGAAATATGTCTTCGGTCTTGATCACAATTTTTTTTTTCCTCTTCTATTTTTAAGATTTTATTTGTGACTTTGAGAATTGTGGGGAGTGATATCACATGGATGATATGGTGAAGAAAAATGAGGAACTAAAGGTAAGTGAATTATTCTAATTCTAATCAATAACATCTACTGAAAGGCGACTTATGTTAGATGTGGAAAAACTAGGTCATTCTAAACATATCCTTTTTTGCTCTATGTTTTTGTGCTTTCCGACTTCTTTAAAACTATTAGTGCCTATAGCTATAGTGTTTCATGTCTACGTGGAATTACTTTTACATATGCATGCCAACATATCAACATGCCATGAAATCTCTATCCCTTTTTTAGTTTATATAGTGACTGAGTATATTTTTAATTTTCTAAGGATTATTAATTTAAAATATTAATGATGTTTTATTCGTGTAGCTTGGAGCAAACGTACTGCTGCTGAAAGGAGCAAATGCCTAAGGAAATGGTATGACAAAAGAGATTTCTTATCTTATTTAAGATGATTTGTACTGGTAATAATTTTCAAGCAATCCAGTAATCTTTATTTTGTGAAATGCTTGATAATTTAACTGAATGAAGCTCAAGTTTCACTAGTGTTTAAGATAGATTATTTAATGGAGATTGTGCATACTGTGGGAAGATATTGTGGCGGGGTGGATCGTTCAGTAAAAAATAATCAACATTCTTTCATATTTATTCTCTCTTTATACTATGCTGTGTTGGGTACTTTAGTTTTAAACTTGTTCTGATCTTCATGATGTTGGTCTTTACGTATATTTCAAGGTATGATTTAATGATTGCCCACAGAGATGAGCTTGGCCAACTTATAACATTAGAGCAAGGAAAGCCCCTGAAAGAAGCCATTGGTGAGGTATGTCATTCAAGCTCAAGCTTTTAAAAGTTGAAGCAGCTTTACCACTGCGCCATTTGATGCCATCGATGCAAATTACAGGTTATCTATGGGGCCAGTTTTATTGAGTTCTTTGCAGAGGAGGCTAAACGTGTATATGGTGATATAATTCCATCCACCCTAGCTGATCGTCGGCTGTTTGTTTTGAAGCAGGTAAGCTTGTGTATCTCAAAGTTTTATAGAAAAAAAGGCATTACCCAGACCTTGTGGGCGGGTGTGAGGCACTGGCCAGCTACCATGCTGACAAGTTACGGGTGCACAATCCCACATCGCCTAGGTAAGGTGAAGGTAAAATGCTTATATGTGCTAGTGTTGTCTCCAAATGGTACAAGGCGTTTTGGGGTAAAATCCAAAAACAAAACTGTGCGGGCTTGGGTCTAAAGCTGACAATATCATTATTATCATACCATGTGGTGGAGTGGGCTGTTACACCATGCGGGGTACTAGGAGGAAAGATTGGAGATGGACCCAATTTTGACAATATTTGGCCCAAAGTGGAACCTGGGTCCTCATGCTTGTTAGCATGAGCTTTTACCATTGCACCTAGGAATGGTACTGGTTAATTATTTCATTGCAATTGTCTAAAATTGACTAAAAATTATATTTTAAAATACCTATTTAAGAAAGTCACAGCCACAGGTTTGGTGGTTGACCTGAATGAAATGTTTGGCATTGCAACATGCAGAAAGTTGATAGTTGACATGACTATTCGAAGTACACTATATGGAGATGAGGATGCGTTTTGCATTTATGTCAGACCTAGGCATAAGCATATTTTATTAGGATTATTATTGTAGTTTTAATCTTACAAATATTGTTTATATGGTTATTAGGGTTATTTGTATCTCTTGCCGAATAACGACGGTTCTATGCTAACCTTCCTTTAATTGTATGCGAAATTTCCTTTGTTGTTTCATTTCCTACTCTTGGGCTATTTGTATGGATCACCTTCTGCTACAAATGGTCTACGGTCTTGCTTTTCCAAGACTTTTGCATTTGATAGACAATACTGAAATTTCTTACTTTTACTAACAATTAAATGTGCCAGTCATTATTGGTTCAATTTCTTATTTTATTTAATTAATGTGGGATTTTATTTATTTAATTATTTTTTGCAGCCTGTTGGTGTTGTTGGCACAATTACGCCCTGGAATTTTCCCTTGGCTATGATTACTCGAAAGGTGTTTCAGTCTCGGTTTCTGATATTTCAATCAATACCTTTTTTTTTTCCCTAGTTATTTCAATCAATACCTAATTGTGCATCATTTATATAATGTTAATGGCTGCTGTGTTCAAAGTGACCTTTTCTGTTTCACTCTTGTACCAGGTTGGTCCTGCCCTTGCTTGTGGTTGTACAGTGGTTATAAAGCCCTCTGAACTTACACCATTAACTGCTTTAGCAGCAGCGGAGCTCTCCCTCCAAGCTGGGATACCACCGGTAATTCTTATACACAAGCTTATTATATATATATATATATACATGGGCATAATGTAATTTCTATATATTATATTCTGTTAGAAGATAAGATCGTTACCCAAGCATCTGGGCGGTGACTTAGATCTAGAGGTGGTTGAATAGGTCTTATAGTAGAAATATAAAAAAATGAGAAAGAAGAGAATTGTGTAAAGGCTAGAATGAGATTAAATCACTCATTCACAGCTCTAGTATTTATAGATAAATAGAGCACATGCTCGTATTACAAGAAATGAAACTAAATCAAATCACAACATATTCTAAAGCATATTCTATGACATATTCTATAGCATAATAAAATCTCTGCTAATATGGTCATTACATAAATCGTGGCTATCATATCTGCTAGCACTCATCCTCAAGTTGGTGTGTGGATATCTGAATGCCCAACTTGGACAATACATTTTCAAACACAATCTTGCTAACGCCCTTTATAAGAATGCCTGCAAGTTGTTGCAAGCTTGTGACAAATGGAGTGCAAATCTGACTAGCGATGATTTTCACTCAGATGAAGTGCCGATCAACAAATCAAAAATGTCTCCTCAGACCATAAACAATTAATAATGTCTCCTCAGACCATAAACAACCAATCATGTCTCCTTAGTCCAAAAACAACCAACAATGTCTCAGACAATTTCCCTTCATACACATGTTTAAAATATGCAGATGGAAGAATCAACAATGTCTTCTCAGACCATTCCCCTTTATACATATGTTTAAATAATGTAGATGAAAAAATCAACAATGTCTCCTTAGACCGTAAAAGAAAAAAAAAAAAAAAACTGTCTCCTCAGACCATTTCTGAGTAGGTGATACATATGTTTAAACAATGTAGATGAAAGAATCAACAATGTCTGCTCAGACCATTAAAAAAAAAAAAAACTATGTCTCCTTAGACCATTTCTGAATAGGTGGTGCCAAACTCGCAACGCTCTCATTGAGGTTGGACCACCCTGCCTACCCGACACCTTCCGGATGGGCAATGTCACCTTAGACCATTCCCGAATGGGTGGTGTCGAACTCGCAATGCCCTCATTGTAGTTGGACCACTCTGGCTCTGATACCAAGTAGAAATATAAAAAAAAGAGAACGAAGAGAATTGTGTAAAAGCTAGAATGAGATTAAATCACTCATTCACAGCTTTAGTATTTATAAGATAAAAAGAGCACATGCATGACTGCTGAAGACGACCTGGATCACCTTTTTGTTACCTGTTCTCTAGCAAGAGATGTTTGGTAGTGGTTGGCTGTGTTACTTGGATGGAATTTGCCTCAGTTTGATACATTACAACAACTTATTAATTGGTTTGTTCAGAAAAGAATAAAGCACAAGGCTCAAAAACGCCTTTGTGCCACAACGTTGTGGTTTTTATGGGATGAGCGAAATAAGAGATTGCATCATGATCATCAGAGGGATGCTACACACATTGCTCAAGCTATATGTGGAGAGGTTTTATTACTTTCAGACATGGAGCTAGGGGGATTTGGGACAGCCTCTTTGGGACAGCCTCTTTGAATGTCCTATTTTGTTTATCTGTTTTGATCTCTTGTAACTACTTGCTGTAGTTACAGCTTTTTTTTTTGTAACTACTGTTTTTTTTTTTTTTTCTTTTTACAAGGGGATGCCCTTGTTGTTTTACTTGTACATTCTTGATATATCTATAAAATTTTTCCACTTTACACAGGAAAAAAAAGAAGAAAAAAAAGAGAGCAAATGCTCATATTACAAGAAATGAAACTAAATCAAATCACAATCAAATCACAAACATATTCTAAAGCATATTCTATGGCATAACCAAATCTCTGCTAAATATGGTAAGTCATTCCATAAATCGTGGCTATCATATCTATTAACACTTATGGATATTAATTTGCAACAAACTAACCTTTTAAATTATCCGTGTTTAAGTTTAGTTGGATAGCTATGATGTCTGTGATTTGAATTTTTGTTTATATCCGTTAGGTTCTGAATTCTTTCCACACATCCATAATTATGCATTCATATAAAGTAAAGCAGAGCAAAGACACAATATTTTTACATGGAAAATCCTAAACAAGATTTAGGAACAATCAACTATATATAAGAAAAAAGTTACAACTTAGTTAGCAACTCCCACATTGTAGAACTAATTACCTCTTGACACAGACTGACGCTAAACTTTCCACTCAAGTCTCCAGACCATCCTGCCCGTCAATAGAATTTTCTCCTCAGGAATCCACTTCTCTAATGGTTGTCCATTCTTCTGCTGAGAAATCTGTTTGGTTGATCTGAATTGTCTCGATAAGCTTGATGAATTTCTATTTTGATGAAATCTTAATCACTTATAATGGTGTCTAAGGAAATCCTAGGTTGAATAATTCGGAATTCTACTCTCTATAAAGGAATTCTACTCTCTATAAAGGAACGCATCCTAAGAGATATATAAGGAACAAAACAAAAAGTAAAGTCCGATTTCATCTAAAGATATACAATTTCTCCCCATCACCCAACTAAAAAGAGAACTAATAATAGAAAATTTCAGCGCCCCAACGGAGACTTCCTATATTTTTCCTACCTTATCACATAAACTATCTATACGCATCAAGTCCCTTATGAGATTACATCTCTCTCAGTCTCATAAGTCTCAACCCATAACCTAGGTGCCTGTTTATAGAGTTCCAAACTCAATTCCTCGTTGGACAAGGATTACAATTCTTTAGAGCCTAATTCCTTGTTGGACAAGGATTACAATTCTTTAGAGCCTAAGACTTGTCAAACAAAGAAATTACCTAATAGAATACAACTCTAAAATGGAAACTTAATTAGAATAGGAATTTGAGACACAATTCCCAACAATCTCCACTTGGCTCAAATTCCATCCAGCCAATCATCGCTTCCACGGCATTAATCAGGACAATTCTTTTGTAGCTTCAATCTTGACGATCCTTCTGCAAAATTCCGATTGTCCACACACGCTTCTCGATCAGTGAAGCTTTTAAGGCTTCACCTTGACTACTCGAGCTCTATGCCATGGGCCCATCACGATTTTCTGACATCGTGACCAACCAAGCCGATTGATTCCACCTGCAACTGAAACCTGTTGCAGCATATGTTGAGACTTCTTGTGTTTTCTAGATCTCCTTCACCTTCGTCTCTGATACCAATTTGTTGGGGCAACGGAAGCGTGCAAATAAGAAAGATTGGGACAACAGAGAATCCGGCAAATATGATGACTAATGTCATTCTTATTGTCAAGTTTAGTTACTGTTTGGACTTGATTGGTACTTGCAATAGCTGAGGCCCCAACGGGCATTTGGAGGAGGCGAAAGGAGTAGCTGGAGATTGTGGAGCTTTGCGTATTTCAAGCCAAGGTGGAGATTTGTAATGTTATGGCTCGAATTTGGTGTCTGTGGGCCAAAGCCCACCAAAGGTCTTGAGGTTTGGGGAAAGGAGACCCCTATTGGTGTGCTGAAATTCTCCATTATTAATACTCTTTTTTGTTGGGTTCTTGGGAGAAATTGTAAATCCATGGATGAGATTGTTGATTTTGTGGACTCTTTGAGAGTTTAAAGGCCATATTAGGTCATATTGTTTTGTGGGATGTGTTCCCCTTTTTGAACGCTTTTCAATAAATATTTACTTATAAAAAAAATAAAAAATAAAAAGCTCTGGGGGTTTGGCCCCGAGGAAAAATTTTGACCCGTTTTTGCTTGTGGGTTGTGGACCCTAATTAGCACTCTCTTGTAGCCCGATATATAAGGGCGCTTAGGGTTTGGAGTGCGATTGGACTTAAGACACTGAAAATCGCAGAGAAAGAGAGTGAGGGCTGAAACTTGTAATCTCCAGATTTTTGCATAGTGAAAACTTTCGCCGGATCTCCATCATGGATGTAGGCTTTGCCGAACTACGCTAAATCTTTTTGTTCTTTGTGTGTGGTGTGATTAGTTTTCTGTTGTGTTTCTTGATTTATTCTTGCCACAAGCACCACCACACACACAAGGGCCTTGATCTTGATCAACTTCAGATTACACTTCTAAAGTTTGTAAAACTAAAACATGCACACCAAAGCTTAATACTGGACTAAAAAAATCTTACTAATCACTTGATCTTTATCTGTTTCAGATTTACACCTCTAAGTTTGCAAAACTAATAATAGAGCACACATGCCAAAGTAAAATACTATTCATGGACAGAAATAAAAGCATGATATATAATGCGATAAGACAGAAAACATGAGTATTAAGGCTTTATTATTTCATAACCTAGACTGGCTATAATCCCATATTTATAGCCAATTTGGTAGCCTATACTCTTTGGTTTGTTGAATCCTGTTAAAAATATAGGTCCGAAGGGTTCAATGGTTGAGACTTTGATTGACACCTACTAGACAAGCTTCAATTGATCAACTTGTCGGTCGAGGCATTCTGGATTTCAAAACAACAGAATGCAAACATCTCGATCGACGCTCTTTGGTAGTTGTTTGATCAATCAAATTATCGATTGATCAACAATCATTCCATTTTCAAATATGTTAAAATTCCTTAATTTTTGAAAGGTTATTTTTCCAAAAACTCATCTAAAACAAAACTTTGAGCCTCTTCATGATCCATCTAGGTCAAATAAGGTCTTTCTAAGGTTAATCTGTGCCCTATATATGTGACTAAGGATGCGGATTTCTCGCCATATTTTTTACAATATTTTACTTTGCATTGTCTTCAATGGTTGTATCCACATGATTCAAGAAACTTTGACACATTGCAACCCATGTTTTGTGTAAGAAATTGCCTACACATGGGTCATATACCTAACAGAATCATTTCCTTGAAAAAGGGTGAGATTGGAGATATGTTATTGGTTTCAGCCTTCTTAATACGTTTCATTTTTCACTCTAGTGCTTATGCGTCATAGATGTAACATTTTTTACACAAGCTCGTGTGTTAGATTGAAGTATTTTTTTCTATGCAAGATGCTATTGAGGAGGATTCTTCTATCTTTACTACTATTAAGAGAATGATTGAGACCCAACTATCTTAATCTTGTTGCCTCTTCTTTATCATCTATATACAATTTCTTACTTGCCTGTTGTTTCTAAACTTCAAAGTAAGCTTCAAATGATACAATATGCATGACAGGCAAACAGATGGATGATAACCCATCTGAGACATCTTAATCAGTCATATCAATGCAAGAGCTTTCTTGTCCGAGAAAAAGCAAAGCCCAAGTGCCCAACTATGTGCATAAATCTCAAAATGGGGTTAACTTGTAACATTTGGTGCGTGTCTTGTGTTTATGCATCACAACTTAAAAAAAACTACCCCAATTGTAACAATTTGATTCCCAAGGATGATGGAATAGTAGGGGAAGAAGAAAGAGAAAATGAATAACAAGATACTAAGAGGACAGGGTTGCTTATGCATCCCCTGAAGTTCCCAAAGGCAACTGCAAAAGAAAAAATTCAAGTTTTGTTATCACTGTTGAATACCTAGGTTAGGTCAGTATATGCCTCTTTGCTAATCCTAATGTTAGTATATAGTTTTGGATGAATGTTGGTGTTTCAGTATGTTTCTATTGTTCTCACAGAGTCTCAATTAATTTTGTTGCTTCCTTTCTCTCTTGTTGGTTACGACATACTATCTTTTCATCTTAGGGCGTTGTCAATGTGGTTATGGGAAATGCTTCTGATATTGGTGATGCTTTAGTTACAAGCCCACAGGTTTTCTTTTTTCTTCTTCTTTTTGTCTCGGAACCTTCCTTTTTACATTTTGTTGGATATAAAAATTATACAACAGGGGTTGCTCATGCTTTTCTATAATTTATTTAGGTAAGGAAGATCACATTTACGGGTTCAACAGCAGTTGGTAAGAAATTGATGGCAGGTGCCGCTGGGACTGTCAAAAAGGTATGCGTAGGAAATTTACATTGATAGAAGGGGGAGAAATAATTCGATCTTATCACATCTTTCTGGTTGTGTGTGTCTTATCTATTAGAGAGAGAGAAAAGGAAGGCGAGATATTAGATTTTTCATACTGGTGATTGCCTTCAATTTTGACTTTTCTAGGTATCTCTAGAACTTGGTGGCAATGCACCTTGCGTAATATTTGATGATGCAGACCTGGACGTGGCATTAAAGGGGACTGTAAGTCAATGCAACTTCCTAGATTACTAGTTGTAATTGTGTAGTTCCCATTCTAGATGACTTCCAAGTTCCATGTATGGCTGGAGTGAGCAAATAGCAACCAGACTAAATCTAGAGAAATTTGATATCATCCTTCTATATCTCTCTTTTTTTTTTTTTTTTTTTTGTGCAAGATACAGTATACAATTGTGCTTTTCTTTAATCCCAAGAGGCAAATAATGTTCCATTACTTTTTTTATGTTCGATTTTATAGGCCTTTTTTCTATCATGTGAATCATGATGCTGCTTCATTTATGCTGGTGGGTGTAAATATGGGCTTGCAACTCTTAGAAATACTTGACCTTCTTGGCCACGGGTAACTTTGACCCTCGAGGTTCTTATGGCCATCCTGGTCGCGGGTAACTTCCGTTCTTCCTAGTTTATAAGCGGATGAAATTTGTCCAACCTTTTCATAGGTATATGTGTTGGTTCTATTTCCATCATGTACTTTCTAGACACGACTCTTCCAAGTTTACATGCAGATAAAACATGCCCATCCTTATCAGAGGAATGTGTGTTGGTTCTATTTCTATGATGTATGCCCTAGTTATATATCCATTGTCTTGTCTGAAAAGTGCTTCACCAATATGAGTCATGACAGCTGCCACTTTTGTAGGAAATTATGAATATGTCGTTCATCGAAATGTGGAATTATATACTCAAGCAACTTTGTGAGGACCTCATTTTTTTTCATTTTTAGTTTGAGAGGACCGCCTGTCTTGAGACAATTTATAGAGATACTGCTTCAAGTTTCAAGTTGTGTTTTCTTTCCTTAGCAGCATAAGTTGAAAAAAAAATTACTTTCTCTTGACGGGGAGTTCTTGTTATCATAAGAGCTCCATTTAAAGAGTTGTGGCTTTCTTCTCATCATGAAATGCAATTTATCAACCTTCTCCAGCCCAAGTTTGTGGTTGTTTGTCCTCCATTCTCTTTAGATATTGCCTTAAATACATGTCTCCTAAAATCAATTATAGTGTGTGTATTATATTTCTCCTTCAATGTATCACATTTTCAAGTGCTTTGTGGATTTTGCCCCATCATTTGTTTAAATATAGGTAGTCGAGATGGCATTGTTATTCTGTTTGGTAACATTTTTACTTTCTCAATTCAAGTTTTGCTGTTATAATGGTGTATGAATAACTGTGTGCGCAATTTGTTTTTGCAGCTAGCAACGAAGTTCCGTAACAGTGGACAGACATGTGTATGCGCAAATAGAATAATTGTGCAAGAAGGTAAAAGTGGAAATTATATTCAAATACGAATTATATTCTTAATGCTTTGAATGGTCAGCCAATCAAGGTTTTAACCAAAAATATACTCAAATTAAGCATCAATAGAAATGTTGTTAGATTGAGGAGTCTCCAGTCAGCTTCGATTGAACCTAATGGACATATATTTTTGGCAACTCTCTCAAAACACAAATTTACAAGGATTCTACTTACTAAAACGTATAAAACTCCTATATAACTATAAATACGGGGTTTATAGTCATTCTTGGTGTGTTGAATGTTTCTGACCATCTAGAGAGTTAAAGTCCTTGTGAGAGAAGAATTCCCAAACTACTTAATCTAGGTTTTCCACAGATTCTATCATATGTGATTGAGTGTTCATCAAGGAGGAGTTCACTAGTCCAATCTAATTCAACCGTTCATTAATCACTAGAGAAGCGAATTCGTGACTAGCGGAGTCTTTTGATAAGCGAATCAAGTGCGACTTGAGGAGAGTTTGGGGGGTTAATTTGTGTCTAGAGGTATCTGGGGGTTGTAGGGTGTGGGAACTGTTAACCTATTCGTAATCTCTTTCTCATACAGTGAATTGTGCCTATCTGGACTAGGTCCTGTGGTTTTTCCTTCGATTTTTCAGTAAAATATTAATGTATCTACACTACTCTACTTTCTGTTTGATGCATGATTGTGAGTATGATTAATGAAATCTGAAAATTAACTAGAATTTGAACATCATTCTTCACATCTAACTAACTGAATTTCAAAAAGGATCAACGGTGAATTGAAAAGTTAGCTAAGTGCAAACTAATATTCATAAGACATATTCACCCCCTCTTGGTCAAAATTCACCGTTCACAGCCTTGGGTAGTGGTCTCACGTATTATCATGGTTCTTAAATGCTTCATTCCAATTGAAATTTCCTTTTTGTGTTTAGTTTTTCCTCTGACTGTTTCAAATCTACTCTTTTTTGTTTTAAATTATTTGTTTCTTTTGGGTGATTAATTTCCTGAGCCTTTGTGCAGGTATTTATGAGAAATTTGCGAGTGCCTTTACAAATGCTGTCCAGAATCTCAATGTTGGGGATGGTTTTGGTGAGGGCGTGGCCCAGGTAGACAGTTGTGCTCTTTATGTTTTTATTATAGAATGGTTGTCTTGTTGGTCTTTCTGTTAATCTGAAGTTATTCTGGTCACCTTTCTTCATGTCAACTATATCAAGGTTACCATGTTCATGGTTGATGTACATATTGTATCGAAATTCCTTTATTTATTTATTTTTTTATGATGTAACATAGATGAAAGATGGTTTTCATATCACTACAATTTGGGACAATTTTTCCCTGCCTGAAAACTGCGAACAAGTGTCTTAAGAAACATAGTTTGAAGTTCATTGTTCACTTCCTACAGGGTCCACTAATTAATGAAGCTGCAGTACAGAAGGTCAGTTTTCTTTTCAACTTTTCCGGTTTCTATCTAGCAATGGTCCAGTAATATTCCAGTCTGTTGCTAAATGTATAGATGTGTTTTCTGAATTCCCTTACAGGTTGAATCATTTGTGCAAGATGCCATTTCAAAGGTTTGTTTATCACCTATACTGACCAAAATTAATAATTGTTTATTCAGAGGAAATTAATTCTAAACATCATTGATCTTTTTCCGCTGTTCTCATTTCATTGTCGTGCCATCTAACTAGTGGCCCACATTTTCGTACTCTCTTGTTTGCAGTATAGTTGTTTTTATTCAGTATTATTTTGCATGCCAGTCTCCTATCAGTTAGTGGTACTGAAAGGATGAAATTGTGTTCTACTTATATTATATAAATTATATGCTAGACTTGTAAGCAATCTTTAATACATGTTGCCGAGTCTCACATAGTGTACCCAAACAGTTGAAAAAATCTCTCTTGATCTTTTCTCGAATGACACCTGCAAAGAAAATGAAACTAACAATAGATCTCTGTCCAGGACAACCCAAAAAAAAACACTGTGAACAACCATCTGCTCCTAAAGCTTAAGCTTTTAGAGAGGGTGTAACTTTATTATTTAAATCCTTCGCAAAACACCCCCTCACGTGTGGCCTTCTTTTGGTTCAACACATGTTTCAATTTTACATATCAGGGTGACAGCGAGGTTCAAACTCAGGACCTTGATTGCTCTGATACCATGTTAACAGCCATCTACTCCAAAAGCTTAAGCTTTTAGAGAGGGTGTAAGTTTAATATTTAAAACATTCACAACAAACACACACACACAATGTGAAAATGTTCAATGCCAGACCTATACTCTCTCCCTTAATCTACCTATCCCATCCTAAACCTATCTTTTTTGTCACGAATTGACAAAAGAGATGCAGAAGTAGAAAATAATATGGGATAATTAGCGAATAACCATATTGAACTAGTATAGTTGAAACAAAGATCATTTACGCCACAAGATTAGATTGGTATGAAATAATACTACACTAAGCAGATAAACTCAATATCTCAGCCATGCACACTTGTCAATTTTTTAGTAAAATCATCCTTAATTAGTGAATAACCATATTGTTCTAGTATAGTTGAAACAAAGAAGATCATTTACTCCACAAGATTAGATTGATATGAAATAATACCATACTAAGCAGATAAACTCAATATCTCAGCTATGCACACTTACCAATTTTTAGTAAAATCATCCTTAATTTCCAATTTTTTTAATAACCTGGTTTAATCTTGATTAATATTTCAATGATATCACACTATCTTTGGAATTAAAACAATCAACATGTGCACAGACCTTTTTTTTTTTTAATTGGCAATCTTGAATAACCTCCTTCGAATTACTCTCTCACCTAATTTTGGCAGTTTGCACGCTTAAGGGCAACCAACTCTTTTCTAAGACAACTTTATTAATATAGATTTCACATTACATGCCCTGTTGTATCAGTAGCTTCAGACATATCCCTAAGGTAGCCCTTTCTTTTTTTTTTTGATAAGTACCTAAGGTAGCCCTTTTAATAAGTCAGATACAACAATACTTGTATACACATTTTTATTTTTATTTTCCAGCTATTGTCATTACTTTATTATTATTTTTGTATTTTGTCGTGTTTAGATCACTTTGATCCCAAAGATTATTTAATACCATTTCAACATTAATCACGACCAAAACATTGACTTTTGAATAACTTGAATCATTATTGTACTCCTAAGGACACAATCACTAATCTGGACTAGGTCTCATGGTTTTTTCTCTTGGGTTTTCGGCGGAAAAATCTGCTGTTCATTGCTTTATATTTTATCTGCTTATAATTAATATGGATTAATGGATTCTTATTCTTTGCTATGATCTAATTTGTAAGAAGCACGGACACGGATATGACACGACACGGACACGGTGACACGGCAAATCCAAAATAATTAGGACACGGACACGGCAGGGACACGGCGAATAGTATATATATATCTATATATATATATATATATATATATATATATATATGATGTAGTACCTTAAAAATTATTGAGTGTTACTATTTTTCATCAACCTCATAATGAAAAAATACACAAATCACAACTCATCTACTGTAATAGTGAAATGACTAGCCCTTAAATATCTATTTGTTTTGTCTAAAATTGCATATTAACCTTACAAGTTTAAAATTATTATGTACTGACCACATAAGTGAGTAAAAGTTGTTAAATAACTTCACATATTTATACTTTAACCCAATTTTTTTTCAAAAATTATTTTTTAGACCCCGAAAATAAGACATGCGTGTCCGACACACACCCCTGGCGTGTCAGACGTGTGTCCGCGAAATGTCTGTGCCGTGTCCGAAAATAAAAATTCCAGACACGTTTTTTGGTGTGTTCGACACGTGTCGGACATGGATTCTTCGCCCATTTTGGAGTGTCCGTGCTTCCTAGTCTAATTTGAATTTTTGTTAATTTAATTTTCAATCTAAGAAATTGTTAATTTTTGTACTTAGTATGAGAACATCCCCACCCCCACACCACCATCCCCCGCCCCCAGCCCCTCACACCCCCCCCTACCCCCCCCCCCCCCCCCCCCCCCCCCCCCCCCCCGCGGTCTCCTTTTCTAGGTCTAGATCATAGACCTTGTGCAACTCTCCATCAGAGCTTTGGGTTCCTGTCCTTTCCCATCATAATCAGTTGAGATACTTTATTTTGAAGGTAATACTATATAGTGGCTGCTCCTGTTTACAGCTTGTCCTTGCTTTCGCTCTATGTAACCTAGGTTGTACTAGTGAATTAATTGAGACGCTTGATTACGAAGGTTATACTTATAATGGGGATCAGACTCATTTGACATGGAGGTTCCTATATAATGAGCTTCCAACTAGATAGTCAGCTCAAGAATGTCTGTGATAGCGCTCACGGTGGTACATCTGACAAAAGAAGAAGAAAAAATGCATTGCTATCATGATGTGGCGGATTTTTCTGTTTATAGTTATTCTGAATGCATTACTTAAAGGACCTAGTTGCCAGTGTCGATAGCACCTTTATATGCTTTCTTATCCTCCTAGGCAAAAGGAGCATTATTTTCAATGACCAAGGCCATAACATCTGGTAAAAACGCTACAGACACTTCTTTTATTGAATTTAAAAGTGCCAGGGAAAAGATAAAACATCATAAAAATACCAGAATCGTCATCTGCAGGTTTAAAATTATTTATACAATTTTTCTTCCTCGGGATGAATAATGGTGCTTTTTATTGATTTGCTTGATTTCAGAAGTAACATTCAAATTAATGTAGGAGATATTTTATGTAACCCTTCTCATGGTTCATCTCTTATAAACTATAAACCTTGTTATTTGAAGGGAGCAAAAGTTCTTCTTGGGGGTAAGAGACATGATCTCGGAAGGACATTTTACGAGCCTACAGTACTAACTGATGTCAAGAGTGACATGCTCATTTCAAGGTAAGCTCTAAAAGCGAAATAATGTTTTATATATGTTTTTTTTTTTTTTTTTTTTTTTTGTGTGTGTGTGTGTGGATAATTCCTTATTTGTACTGTCATAATCTGTTCAGTGTGACATTCAGATTTGTTTTTAAAGATTACATTTACTATTATTGGTGAGAGGGTTACAGCATTGCTGAAAGAATGCAGTCTTTTGTACCTTTATTATTATAATAATTGGGCCATAAATTCTAGGAAGACACTCATTAGGATTTTTCTTCTGTTTATCATTGTAATTTTAATGTTTTCTTGCCTAGGATTATATTTCAGTTGCACAGTGAGGTATCATACTAAGCTGTAGACGGTTAACCCATTCTATAAAGAGTTTTTATTAATACACTTTTTTTTTTTTTTTTTTTATGGTAAATTTATTTTTAATTTTATTTCAAGGTGCATTTCAATGGACCCCAAGAGCATGGAAAAACCAGCTATCTACTGTGATATAGAATTTCTTGTAGGATTTCAGCTCTTTGATATAAAGGACTTGTTGTTAAGAAAATAATCCTTACCCATGATCTATGAGATGTGCAAAATAATATATAGAGGACAAAACAAGAAAACAAGAACCCCAAATTTATGTGGTTCATCCAAACTAGGGCCACATTCATGGAGCTACTGCAATTTCACTGTGATAAAGAGTTGTTAAAGTGAGTATAAGCTATAATACTCGAGCTCTGATACTACTTTAAGGGTTTTATCAATTTACTCGGGAGTGAGATTAACTAAAGAGGGGACAATCAAGAGCGCAGTGTGCAGGATCGGTTGGTGTCAATAGACCTAGAAAGAGAGGGGAAGGGGGGGGGGGGGGGGGGGGGGGGTGGTGGGGGTTGGGGGGTGTTGTGGTTACAAATTCTGGCCCAATTTAAAAATCCACGCAATTCAAATTCAATAAAGCACTAAATATATCACTTGTTAGAAAGGATTGAAAGGCTGCAGTGGAATTTCCTGTGGGGTGGCATGGGGGAGGAGTTCAATTATCATCTAGTTAGTTGGGAGCGGGTCTGTACTCCGATCTGGAAGGGAGGTTTGGGAATGTGCCTTTCAACAAGCCTTTGTTGGGAAAGTGGCTTTGGAGATCTGGGGTGGAAAGGCAGAGTCTTTGGAGGAGGGTGATTGCGAGCAGATTTGGGGAGGCGAGAGGAGGATGGTGCTCTTCTAAGGCAAGAGTCCCTAGCGGATTGTGGTCAATTAGTGTTGAATGTCTTGACTCAGGATAACCTCAAGAAGAGGAATTAGATTGTGGTCAATTAGTGTTGAATGCGTAAGAATGACAAAGGAACGGTTAATCATCTTCTTTTGCATTGTCCTGTGGCTCGAGATTGCTGGATTTTGTTGTTGGGCTTGTTTGGGGTTCAGTTGGTTATGTCCAGATCTATCAGAGGCTTGATCGAGGCTTAGAGAGGGTGTATGGTGGAGACCCAAGCACGTGATTTCTGGTAGGTCACACCTTTATGTCTGGTGGTGTTTATGGCTTGAAAGGAATATGAGATCCTTCGAAGGAAAGGAGAATCTTATTGGGACGTTGAAGTTTTCCATTATTAGTACTTTTTTTTGTTGGAATCTAGGGAGAAATTGTAAATCCTTGGAGGAACTTGTAGATCTTTTGGAGTCTTTGAGGGTTTAGAGGCCCTCCCCTTTTACCTTTTCTTTGCTTTCCTCTCCTCTCTTGAGTTCCTTTGCCCTCCTGTGGTTTTTTCATTCTTTTGGTTCCTAGATGTCATCTGGCTGTTTCCATGAGGGCCCTCGATGTTCAGAAGTTGTCGTATTTGGAGATCGCAAGCTTCCCTCGTCTGGATCTACAAGGAGATGTGGATTGTGTATCTTCAATTGGAGGGCATATTTTTAGGTTGGACAATCACAGAATTTCCATTCGCGAATTGATGCTTCAGTTGTTGGGAGATTTGACAGTGATGTGGGGTCTTTGGAGGAGATTGAAGAGTGGGCTACGAAGACATGGAGGACGATGAACGCGGGGGGTGGGGGGGGAGAGTATGACAACAGATTCAACAAGCTTCCACATACACTTCAGTACTCGGTGCATTTACAAGGAAAACTTGGTTCTTGGCCTCAGCCGATAAAATCTCCACTAGTTGTATTCAAGTAGTTACACATTCAGCTATCTCACTTTCTACAAACACCCTTGTACAAAATGAAATACTAGCTCTCACATCCTCTACACACACACTAGCAACACTAAGTGCACACTGCACTCCCCCTATCCACAGCACCCTTGCTTGGACCTGATGAGCACTCATAGCTCACAATCAATACATAAAAAGGTTTACAATCAATAATACTTAAAGTTGTATTACAAGATCAAAGTGATAAACAAGCTTGAAGTATACAAGCACTCAGTCTTCATTCTGCTGAAACTAGGGTTTAGGGGCAAAATTGGAATTTTGAGTCCCACAACCTCAGAGATGGAATCCACAGCCTTGTATCTTCATTATAGTCATGCTCAGATGATAATCAGGATGAATATAGCATGTGTTTACAAATACTAAACTACAGGCTTAGTTCTGCAGAAACATGAAAACTAGGGTTTAACAAGACCTTAATCCTGTGCAAACCTCAACTTCAACAGCCTTAATTCAGCTATAGAAACTTGCTCATATGATAATAATGCAACTCACAGCAAGATATAGTGTTAATATGTTCAGATCAACAAACTAAACCAGATAATCAAACTGAAGTACAAGTCTGAGACATCAAAATCAAATGCAGCTTAAAGATGGTCATAAGCATGCTGTCTGCAGATATAAAATATGTAGTTACACTGCCTCAACCTTGTACAAGCACCACAGCAAGCTCAAATCAACTTAAGGCCATGAATCCAGCTTATGCACCAATAAAATTCACAGCTATAGGCCTTCAATTGATCTTAAACACTTGTGTATTCTTTGAATGGATTTCTGAGCTTAAATCAAGCTTTCATAATTACGTATAATCTCAGAAAAGTGTGTTCATATTCAGCTCTCAATACACTCAACAATGCAGCTTGCTATAAAGGATTTTTCAAAGGCTCAAAACCCTAAAATGACTATAGCAGCATATATATAGTACATCAGCAATACAAATCCTATCTCAAAGAGGAAATGTATGTGTCACCATTATCCAATCATTGGCCACGGAATCATTTGAAATTCCCTTGTGAAAATACCATACTACCCTTGCCACCTTTTTAGAAAATATCTTCAATAAGCATCCTTATTGACAGCCTTGAAAAAGTATATATATATGAATGTATCACAAGCTTAATCACTATGTAAAGAATGACAACCTGCATATTCTCTTACCAAGACCACAAAACACGTGTCACAAGAGTTCTCAGCAATTATATATTGACCAAAATGCCCTCACTGAGATATTGTCAATTAACAGTGAATTCAGCTACTGAACATGTGAATACTTAGAATAATACATGTGTGAAAAGACCTAATTGTCCCTGAGAAGCTCTGTATCAAAATATCATTATCTGTGCTAGAGTTTTTAACCCTGAGATGACTGCAGAAGTGTCTTCAATACAATGTACCTTAGATCATTTGGAAAGTCTTCTCAACGTTGTGAAATGACCAAGCTATCCTTGTAGGTCAATTGAATGCATAGTTCAAGCCAGAATTGCTTGGAACTCACTGTATAGAACATGTGGTGGACTTTTTAACGTTTAAAAGGGAAAACCCTAATTCAAAGGTGGGACCAACAATCTTCCCCCTTTTGCCTTTGAATGTCAAAAACCAAAATATGCATGAATATCAACAAGGAACTTAACAATGCATCAACAGAGCAGTAATGAAAGCATTCTAAAGGATATATATATCCTTGATTAAGGTCCATTTCTCCCTCTTTTTGACATTGAAAGTCAAAAGGTGAAAGGACTAACAATAGAAAGAGCTAGAAGGGATTATGAACAACCCTGAGAAGATCTCTGAGAGTTGAAAACCTCTGTGGTAGCAATGGCTTGGTCAAGATATCTACAAGTTGATCTTTTGTTGGTAGATGTGTAATGTTGATCAGCCCTTTTTGAACCTTATCTTTGAGAAAATGGTATTTGACATCAATGTGCTTGCTCCTCCAGTGCAAGGTAGGATTCTTGCTAATGGCTATACCACTTTGATTATCACAGTAGGGCTTTGGAGGACTTGAGAATGGAATGCCAAGGTCTGAAAGAGTTGTCTTCATCCAAAGTAACTGTGAACTAGCTTGTGAAGCAGCAATATACTCGGCCTTTGCAGTTGAAAGTGATATTGTGTCTTGCTTCTTGCTTAGCCAAGAGACCATGTTTGAGCCAAGAAGGTAACAACAGCCTGAAGTACTCTTCCTATTAGGTAGAGAACCACCCCAATCTGCATCAGAATAACCTGTAATAGGCAAGGATGGTGAATGAAGATAGTGAAGACCATATGAGATAGTTACTTTGACATATTCAAGGATTCTTTTAGCAGCTTGTACGCGAGAAGCCCTTGGATTACTTTGAAATCTTGCCACTAATCCCACAGAATACATAATGTACAACGAACCACCAATGATTGACCTGTAAAGAGTGGAACACTTTTTGTGGTACACTTAAGTGTAAGCTTTGTGTTAAGGCACAGAGGTGTGGATACAATCTTGCTTTCAGCCATATTGAACTTTCTGAGCAATTCAGTGGCATATTTCTCTTGAGAAATGAAAATGCCAGTGGAAGATTGATGAATTTGAAGGCCTAAAAAGTACTTTAGGGTGCCAAGCATGGACATTTTAAACCTTGTTTTCATAAGGCTGCAAATTCAGAGTCAAAGATGAGTCCGAGTCACAAAACATGATATCATCAACATAAATCTGCAGAATTAGGAATTGATCTTGATGTGTTCTGACATACAAGGTATTATCAACCTTGCCTTTGTGAAACTCTTGTTCCACCAAGAAGCTATGCAGCTTCTCATACCAGACTCTAAGGGCTTGTTTAAGACCTTACTTAGCTT